GTTTTGTAGGGTAAGTCTTCGCAGCTATGGTTATTGTAATGAATTCTGTAATTGGTGGATTTAGTGGAGTAGACTTAGTAGGATTGGTTGGTCTAACTGTTCTATTACACATTTCAATCACTACTCTAAAGAAAAATTAGTGAAAAATAAAGCAGGTAATGCACCAATCGCAGTAAAAACGATAACTCGCCATGCCCGCGAAAGAGATGTAATGGACTCAGTCTTAATACATTCACATGTCTGTTTTGGTACTGGTCACGTGCCTTATTCCACGGGTTTAAGGTAAATCTCGTGGTGGCTGAAAACATAGTAGAGGGGAATATGGGTCCCCTCTACTAACAATGCTGAAAAGGAGCGGGTTTTCAAACCAAGACTAAACAAAGATTAAGAAAGAAAACCCTTCAGAGGTAGAAATAGTCGAGCATATGGAACTATGTATTATGTACACTGTAACATTTGGAAAAAGTAACGCAATTTCGAACGAAAACGACTCAAAACGTTCTTCGAGTTGTCTCAAGTCCACCTTTATTTTAGTATCCCCGCCTTGCACCCTTCAAGTTAAATTGTTTTCCTAAAGATAAATTTACTTTTAATTTTGTGACCTTGAAAGGGATAATTTGCACAGCAAAATATTGTATGAAAAAATACAAGTCACTGTGCTTGTGTATGAGCAAAAGGCCAAGGTAACTGTACCGTTGACTTTGTCCGCTAGTTGAGGGCAAAATAATCTGCCCTTTTATTGGATTGCTTGCATACTTGTTCGCAAAAAGTTATGGGTGATGTTATGTGCAGTACAAGATGTGCAGTGTTATACTAAGTAATCACCAATCAGAATGTTGGGTGAAAAATAAAGAAACTTAATATGCAAAAGTCACACTTGAGGAAATTGAAATGGTTATGATTATACATGTATGTATGTATATTTACATATTTTTATTATTATGGATTTTATCAAAGTAATTTTTAATTTGTATTTCATTTTATTTATATTGACTTGATGCAAAAGCATTGTTGATCAATAAAAGTAAATGTAGATGTAGTTTTAAGATTATTCCTCTGGAGTAAAAGTTACCAAATGATTCTTTTGAAACTTTCCTCAAGAGTTCCCTGTCAATCCATTTGAAGATTACTCTATTTGAACAATTACTAAAGAAAAAAAATTAAAAATTTCTTGTACCTCTTTGAGATAAAAGTTAAAAGGATGGTTAACCCTAACCCTAAAAGATACCTAACCCTAACTTTTTCACCTGATTTTACATTAAATAGACCTATTTGATTGCTTAATCCTGAAAAATTGATTTTTCCAAAAAAACTTGCTTCTTTGTTAAAACTAGCACTAGGATCAATTTACAATAAGAAATCAATCCATGAAGCAAATTGACGTCACTCAAGACTCTACTTGCTTCACTGATGAGGAAACCTCTCAGTGGCACATTTTGTAAGCATAATATGCTCACACACCTGCATAATTGTGCAGAATGCTTTGTTGTCATTTTTCAGTTATTACTTTCCCAATGTCCTTCAAAGTTATCATAATTATAGTTAATGTTCTGCAGCATAAATATGTTTTTGGCCCTAGTCAGAATCATGGTAACCCTCACCCAGTGACTCAGACAAAATGACACTAAGCTGGGCCCAAAACATATTTATGCCCTCAAACATAAACTTGATTAAATGCACATACCAGTAACACTCGCGGACAAAAATGTACATGTGACTACAAAATTTAAGTGACCCCTGACCTCTCAAAAGATTTGAAAGATAAGAGAGACATTTGGAAATTCAAGGCTACTGGCTACATGGTTGTAAACGCCCTGATAATCCATAGTAATAAGATAACCTTGCATGAACCATATCACACCTTTCACCCAGCTTACCCGGTAATTCAAGAAGGACCCCCCTGCCTGAGAAATTTTATCTTTCACGACAATATGTTGCTTAATTATTCAGTAACTCCTTGAAAATTAGCCAAGCATGCTATCCTTGCCTGCATTCCATGCATTAACAACAGATTCAACTGGAAATAAAGTTATTCAATCACTCATTTAATTGTAGAATTAATTAAAAGTTCATTTACAAAAACGTGTTTGGGGCAAAAAAATATACAGGCAAATTATTGTGTGTTTATGAGGGAACTTTATGGATGGCAACTGTGACATTTCCTTCTGATCTCACAAGCAGATTACTGAAAAAAAAATGTAAATAAGGGAATGAAAAACAATGAATGGAACATTGGAATTTCAGGTCAGTTTCTGTTGTCCCTAAAAGCACCCTCATCAATATACAGGTAGAAATTCTCCTAACTGCAAAAATTCTATATCATGCTAATCAGTTTTCTTCTTGAGATATTTATTTGTAACCAAGTGTGGATATTGTGAGAAGAATTCAATGCCAATAACTCCTTGGGCTAAGAGGGTAAGTGTCATTCTCATCTCATTGCAAAAGCAAACATTTACATAGTTTCTCGATCCTCATATAACCTACAATATATGTACCTTTTCACACAGACAGGTAATAAGAAAGTAAATACAAAGGGATATTGTATTCTTTTGATCTACGACCAAAGTCTCACTGAGAGATTGCAATAAATGTACAGCAGACAGGAATCAGAATCGATGCAGTTCTTGGAGTAAGATGTTTAAAATCAAATGATAGGAAACAAGATATGCAGGGGATAATACAAAGATTCTCTGCCGGGGTTTCAGCGTATTCTAAAGTGTGACTTCCATATTTTAGTGTGTAAGGTCTAAATCAAACAGACCACATATCTAATTATCTGCCTTTTCGTTTTGTTTTAACTTTTTTTTTTTTCGCTGTCTCCCTATCATTTTAAGGGAAAAACACCATGAAGGTGCATCAACTTTCCTGGCTGTGCTCTTGGTGAGCCTCCTTTCATATAGGAACAAAAAGAAACCGAATCATGAAATCTGGCTTAACAGCCACACTGAAACGACAAAATGACTGGTGTTCTTAAACTTTTTCACTCCCAAGATCATATTAGTAATTCTCCTTACAGTCTGCCATACAATTCTTATAATGTAAGATTAGAGAAATCGATATTGGTCAGGATCAACTTAAATAATCCCAAATTATTTTGTAACATCTTAGACTTACACTCAAATCATTGTTTCCCATTACGTAGTTTACACTAAAGGATTACAATGCAAAGGAAAGTTACTTACCATGCATCTGACTCTAAACAGATGACTGGTACAGCATCTGGATATAATTTCTTTGCATCTTCTGCCAATGTGGAAATGAGTCCTGCAGACATGGGATTTGCAGTACCCTTAACTGGTGAAAGACATAATTAAAATGAATTAAGACAGTTACGAACTTGTCAGCAGCCATCCCAGGAGGAAAGGGGGGTTGCCCTGAGCAACCCCTAGGCATCTGCATAGTGGCGTTTACAAATCCCTCTCACCTAAAACCAAGATTGCTTAACAAAAAGCTACTAATGCCACTCCCCTGGGGGCAAAGAAATGTGCTCCTCTAAGTCAAATGGTACAACATTTCAAAAGCATCTTATTTGCCATATTTAATTTGGTATAATTATACATATGAGTTGCTCAAAAATAAGCAAAGAAAAGTTGTTCCACTTGTTTTCTATGCATGATGAGGTCCAGTTTACCATATAAGAGATGGAATGGGGAAGGAGAGAATATTCTCATTTCATAGTAATGAAGAACTGGATTTTTTGAATATTTTTTGAAATGCTTTACATAAATGGCTGAAAAATAATCAGAAACAAGTAACGTTTGGCAATTAATACATGTTTTTTTTTTTTGCAAGTAACACAATGGAAAGACAATAATGAAAGTTCTGTCTCCTACTCCTATATTTATTCACAACACAGAATTTACAGTTTGACACACGTGCGATCTA